GATCTGGCTGATACTATGTATTATTTAGTAAATTGTCCTCTAAATTGATTTGATTATCACAAGAAGTTACTCATTAACGTCATATCCCTTGAAGCTTAGAATGAGAATTTTTCTTACCTCTATGTGATCCTGAAAGTCTTTGAAATTTCATGTTCTGTTTTCGTTCTTGTTTCTCATTTTTAGTTTGTCTTGAATTTTGAAGTAAGATTTTTGATCGGAGTGCAAAAGTTTAAGTGTGGCGGAATTTCATCAGTGTATTTTAATACACCATATTTTACTTTGTGCTACGACAATTTTATAACTTCTTGCATTATTTTCATTGCATTTAATGTGTTTTTGAAGTTCAGTTTAAATTTTCTTTGATTTTATTTTTGTTGCTTATTTTCGGAATAAATTATAATTTGATACCTTCTAACTATGGAGATCATAACTTAAGCTACAAGGTTTCGTTTGACGCGTTCCAATATGTGTTGAAAAGTCAAGAGAAAGAGCTACAAGTTTTATGTTGATGTCATAATCAAATTCGGAGTGCGTAGGATTTAAATAATCCATTTTTGTTCAAGACTTAATAAATGTAAGTTAGTTAGTTTTACGCCAGATTATGTTTTTTTGGACTGGTGCTCTCAAAGCCCAATTTTATTTATTATTTAAGCTAAACTCAACATTAGGGAAAGTTAAAAAGTTTTTAGGAATTAGAGAGAGCATTAGAACTACATGGCTGACTAAACTCCAAGGTTAATCTACTGTTTCAGAATTTCATCAAGACTTTGAGTTTATTATATTATTAGTTTTTATTTGATTCCTTTCAATCCTATTTTATGTATTTTTGTTTGCTTAATTTGAGTTGAATATAATATTTTTGACTAAATTTTATTCATGCATGTTCCTTAACTTCGCGTGTTAACTGAGATTATTCGTTAACTTTGCCCAATCTTCAGCCGTCATGCTTAATATGGCAAATAAGAATATAATTCAAATAGTGCTAATCATGCTTGCTAATTGATACTGTAATAAAAAAGGAACTTAACCCTCTTAAGAAATTAGTGATAATAGTCAATGATAAGTCAAAAATTACTGAACTAGTAGACTAATCTGTTAATCATAATTGCAATCATTTTCTTTATTTTTAATTGTCCGAAAACCTAAAAAAAAAATTTGCGTGTCTTTACTTTGGTTATATTAACTTATAGTCCTTGTGATATGATTCGAGTGTTATTTCCTTATTTTACACTATACTTACGTGTTTTTGACATGTATGTGACATCAGATTAGTCATCCTGTTACCTATAATGTTTGATTGGAACTAAAGAACTCGATTCCTCATATATAGTCCATAGTGGTTTTAGGCCGAAGAGTGGTATACACCACTATCACCTTTAGAATAACTTATGACACATGCATTACATTTTACGTAGTATTCTTATGACGGGTCAATCTGGTTTAGCTATTACCCCTAATATTGATACCTATATGAAAACTTGATAACTCCTTATCCATGAGCAGTGAAATATTATCATTATTGTATCCACATAATAGTCTTAATTCTTCATCTTTTATCTCACTTCATAATAAATCTTAACTACAAATAATTTAAAAACATTATCTTTATGTTAAATGAGGTCTCACGATTAAGTCACACTTAATGCTTCATCAAACATGCTAACTATTTTAGGGACTTTATTAATTTGAAAAGACAAACGTAATAAAGAAATGCCTTATTATTTATAGATAATTCAATACAAGTACCACATTTAAATAAAATATTGGCCTCTGGGGCTTACACGAACACATTCTTGGTGAGAAGCCGAACTCATATGCTATGTACTTTTTTTATGTAGTTAGTTGGAGTTCCTCATGTCTGTATAAGAATATTTCGTATGATTCGAAACTTCTTTGTAGTTTTCATTTATTCATATTTTTGTTTTGTTTTTCTAGCTCTCATGTTTAATTTGAGAGCAAGAATTGTCCCATAATTACTTATGTTGTTTCTTTTGGTTGAACAAATCAAATTCAACAACATCAACTATAACTCGGGATGAAATTAAGTCAAATATCCAAAAGAGAAAAGCCTAGAATTTCATTTCAATTTAAGAGGATTTATTCCTCATGTTTGAGGGTGTTCGCTAGGATTTAATATATTTGTGTTAGGGTTTATTTTGAGTCTTTTGATTTGCGTTTCTTGTACACCACACTATTGTTTCATTAAAACCATAAGGCATAGTAGTTAGTTCGTTTAGTTGAGTTATAAATTCAACATTGATCAATCTGATTATTGTTGTTGATCACTGCAGTTAGTGATTGAGAGAAAGTGACAGGGGGTTCTAATATTTAGGGGGAATCCTGAATAGAAATACATTGATGGTAGAATTAAGAATACGGGTATTGAGCGAGGGGGTTGCTCATTTAAGACACTTTGTACTAATTCTATTAAAGAGTGGATTTCTTTTCTTGGGTAGAGTACGCCCAAACATAGTTGATGTTTTCACTGAATAAGGTTAACAATCCTTGTGTGTTCTTTATACCTTGTACTTTGATTCATTATTGATGTCATAATGTATTAAATCTAGTTTAACAAGTTGGACAAGTTGTCCTAGACACTAGTCTAACATTTGTTCCTTGAGGAACAAAATTTCAATTGGTATCGAAGCAAACATCCTGTTCTGTTTGTGTGAGCTCCAAGGAAGACTTTTTTTTCATATTGGAAGAATTACAAAATTGAAGGCTTACAAAGTAAGATTTTTCATAGATTGAAAACAGTATGTAATGAAAACGACCTAGATGTTGATTTATTAACTCATACTTATCTATTTTATGATGAATTTATCCACATTGGAGTCCCTTTGGAACTTGGTTGGCTGTTGTGGTGAGGATTTATGTTCTCACTTGCCTCAGTTAACTTCAAGTTTTATGTCCGACCTTATGTTCGGGACAACTATGTTGTGTAGTTGAGTCACGATCTAATTTTATAGATAATCATAACAAGTTCGTGCACCTCGTATCATGAGTACATCCTAGAATAGTTGGAGTTTTAGAGACATATTTGGCCCTGACAATTGCAATTACGGTGGAGGCGGATGTTCCTCTAAAGTGTAACCTAGGAATTATTGTTGAAACAGTTGTGATGACGACAAGATCTGATATGTCCCATGTCAACTAATTGAGCGATCAGAATCTGGTGAGATGTTGTAGCTAAAGAAGTCAACATAATAGGAATACCTGCATTTGGCAAAGGAAGTGGCTTTTCAAACGTGGAGGTGAGGACTGGTGGGACAGTGTCTTGAAGCGCCAAGAAGGATGATCAGACATCATGTGAAGGAATGATGTTGAGATGAACTATGATTTTGGTCAAACTTGTAGGCTATCATTACTTATAGTTGTAAAATTTAAAGACAATTAGATAGATTAATACAACAGTTGTGACTATTTGACAAGAGGGATTAGAGGTATCTGGTGTGTAATTTTTGGAGAATCAAGAGATGAGATTCCCATAGATAACACCACTATTATGGTGTAGAACAAAAGATATGTAGTAGAGCGGGGATGTCCATTACAAAAATATTCAGGTACGATAATACATCTCTAATAGTCAGAAAGGGGGTGTATATGCAAGATTAGCACTCAAGCGAGCATGTCAAAAAAATTAGCGAGATGAAACTTCCAAATATATAATGAATATCACACCTTAATCTGATGCGACTTGTATAAGAACAAAGACTATAATTGTCTCTAATAAATGTGACGTCTCACACATGGGCTGTTGGACGGCCCCAATGATTTAGATAGGGTGATGGTTTATTTCAATGCATACTTCTTCAGCTTGAATTGGCGCTGTTTTTGTATTAAACCTTCAAATTAGGTCAGTTTTATTCCATCATTTGACTAATTTGAATTAGGATAACATAACACTTCAAATTTTCATTTTCAATACATCCAATATCTAATGTATTATAAACCAATAAATAAAATATCTAGCTACTCCTTCAATTCCTTTTTAAATGTTATTTTTTTATTTTTTACACGTATCAAGAAAGTTAACCAATATTGTTACTTTTCATACAATAATTTTCCCTTTACCTATAATATTTTTAATTATTTATTACATTCATTTTACTTTTCTTCATTCTGTGATAATTATCTAGTGATAATTTTAACAAAAGTGCATTTAATATTATTTTAAATTTTATAAATGACAATTAAAAAAAAATTATTCAAAAAATAACACTTAAAGAAAACCAATAAAGTATAATATATATAGCGAGATCAATGCATGACATATATTAGCGTGAGATGTTTTTTATTATTTATTTTTCATATTTTGGATTGCAGTGAAAGCCAAGTTAATTATTTATTGGCTAGGTAACTTTGAAATGGTATTTCTATTTTCCCTTGTGAACATATATTAGCGTGATGCAATGATTGTGACCAAATAACTCAAAAATTAAGTCTCCAGAACTAAGAAGAAGTCTTTACTGATTTTAATTTGATTTTGCCAAGAATATTCCAGAATAAAACTACCATTACAAGAACATGTACTAAATCAAATGTCAAGTAGACAAAGTAATGCCTTAAAATTTGTTTGACGTTGGTAAGGCAATTAAGCACACATACTAGTTATGAAATAATGATTCATTATAGAATACAAAATTAATTACGGTAAAGATCAATTGCAAACCAATTCAACTATCATCTTTATTTAAAAAAAAACAACTGGTGATAATTAAATGTCCAGAAATAAGATAAAGTCTAAATCTTAATTTGATTTAGCCAAAACTTTCAATTTTAAAATTTGATTGACTTTGGTGGGGAGATTTAGCACGGTAGTTGTTAAAGAATGGTTCATTGTTTAATACAAAATTAATTACTGTAAAGATCAAATGCAAACCACTTCAATATTACAACCATATAAATAGAGAGCTATACATGAAACATAAATCAATTCTCACAAGCAAATAATAACTTACATAATAACAAGAATCATTAGAGTAGTAGTGAGTTGCAAAATGAAAGTTCTTTACTTCCTTGTTAGCATCTTGGCTTTGGCATCAGTTTCCTTTGCTTATGACCCAAGCCCTCTCCAAGACTTTTGTGTTGCAATCAAAGACCCTAAAGATGGTGGTATGTAGATATTTCTCCCAAATCTTACTATTTAAATTTGAAGTTTTTCTTGTTTAATTAGTTTAAGTTAATAATTAATACTATTTACTTCCTTTTAATATATTACTGTTTTGCTTTGACAATTTTCAGTATTTGTGAACGGAAAGTTCTGTAAAGATCCTGCACTAGTTAAAGCTGAAGATTTTTTCAAACATATTGAACCTGCCAATCCCGTAAATGCATTGGGTTCTCAAGTGACTCCAGTATTTGTAGACCAACTGTTTGGACTAAACACACTTGGAATATCTTTGGCTCGTATTGATTTTGCACCTAAAGGTTTAAATCCACCCCACATTCATCCTCGAGCGACTGAGATCCTTACAGTTCTCGAAGGCACTCTTTATGTTGGATTTGTCACTTCCAATCAAGATAAAAATCGTCTTTTCACTAAAGTTCTCAATAAAGGTGACGTGTTTGTGTTCCCAATCGGTCTAATTCACTTTCAACTAAATGTGGGATATGGCAACGCCGTTGCCATCGCTGGACTTAGCAGTCAAAATCCAGGAGTTATCACAATTGCAAATGCTTTATTTAAATCTGATCCCCTTATTTCTGATGAGGTTCTTACTAAAGCTTTTCAAGTTGATAAGAGCATCATTGACTATCTTCAAGGGCAGACTTGGTATGACAACAACTAATTTGAAAACTTGATAAGTTCTTCAATCACCTTCTGCAATCAGTCTTATCTACTTACTTGTTAGTCTTGTTTCTAAATAAAATGTATGGGTTATTTATTTGAATAAAATGTATGGGTTGTTTATTTGAATACATAGTTGTTTTATTTTGAGTTTCATGTGGTTCAATATTATATTGTTGTTTTGAATTTGGTAATATATTAATTTTATCATGTCCCTTTCTCATACAAATTGAATTATTCATGAGTGATTTTTAGCTATAAGTTATTCTACATACCAGTAAGAAACAACTTTTAGAATAATAAAAATACAAATTAACACCAAAATTAGAAGAACGAGGGCACTGGGGGTACCCTAACCCAATACAACAACCAAAAAACACAACCAATCGAATTTCTCCCACGAGTAAACTAAACATACAGGCAAGGATAAACACGCCACTCGTAATAATTATAATAAGATAGATGATTATCCTTCTTTGCAATCCACCACCATGAACGATGAACAATTTTCTGCACAACCTCGACGGGATCCTAAATAGCATTGTTAAACATAATCTTGTTTCTTGCATACCAGATAAACCAACAAACAATAATCCAAATTCCAACCACCTTGTCCAAGCAAGACACTCTGCCTCTGAATCTATTGATCCAATCCAACAAGACGTCAACGACCCCAACCTCATGCACTTACAAAACCTGCAGCTACCTACAAACTTGTTCCCAAATAGTCTTACTTTTATCACAGCAGAATCATAGGTGGATGATATCTTTGGCAACTATAAAGCATAATGGGCACACCAGTTCGTGTGAGTGAAGTACCAAGCCTCTCCCCAAGAGATTATTTCTAGAAGACAGTCTATTCAAACAAAGTCTCCAAACAAATATTTTTGTTTTCACAGGTGTAACACCCCAAAATTTGCCTCATCTTTTTCTTAATCTCTTGGCTTATGTTTGATATCATTTCCATCATCATTTGTGCATAGCGTTGGTTCTAGGCAGGGGATCAATGTATCTTGGTTAGTTCTCAATAGGAAGAGTATCATCCTTAAATCTAAAGCAAGGGTCTACTCTCAACCTTGTGGTATTCTCAATCCCCAAGGCCCTCTCATCATCAAGTCATGTCTCACAATTATTTGAATCAAGATTACAAGCATTAGGCATGTCCTCCTATCTTTGGGACAACTGGATTAGGGTTGTGATCAAAAGGCATATGTGGCTAGCTTCTTGGGCAAGAACTGGTTCTATGGCTCAATATACATCTTGAGGGTTCCTTACATGTATTATGTCTATCACAAGTCATGGAATGAGCTCCAATCAATGGAAAGAATGCCATAGTTTCATCTGATCAAGAAACATCACCTGTGGCTCCATAAGGTCAAAGTCTTGGTTTTCGAGGTCAATCAAGGCATGCTATGTCTTCTCAAGTTTTTTCATGTGTTTGGAATAAGAAGAATCAAAAGGAAACATAAATTCATGAGATTGGATGAATTAGGGTTTTGTTGAAATATTTGCTAAGTGTGGAAAACCCTAATTTTAGCCATTTTGCAACATCCATAACTTTCTCATCCTTGATCCAAATGGGGAAAACTTATTATCAAATTAAATAGGACATCATGAACTACAATTTTTTAGAAGAAATCAAGTCCAAAAGACTCATAGATTAAGAGAGCTAAAGTTGAGAAAATCAAGTTTTGTGATTTCAACACTTAGAAATTTTTCTAAGTAAGAAATTCAGTTTGAGGTACAAGTTTTCAAGCCTACCTGAAATTTTGGTATGCAGATTTCATATGTCCCAAGCGATGTTAAGACATTGATCTCTGCCAAAACAGAACAAGGATAGAACATGACCATTTTAAATTCCTTTAAAAATTAACAATGTCATGACATCAGTTGTAACATCTGCAGACTGACATAACTGTTTATCTAACCATTTAAATTGTGCGGAATTGTAAATGCAGTAACAGACAATTGATGTTACAGTGGATGTTATGACATCCACCTCTGGACAGACTATTAAACTTAGCAGTAAACAAGTCACGAAAGCAGTAAAGAACACAGGAAATTGTTAACCCAGTTCGGTGCAACATCACCTACATCTGGGGGCTATCAAGCCAGGAAGGAAATCCACTATTAGCAGAATTAGTTCAGAGCTAAACTCCCAGTTTACAACTCCTCACTTAATCTCTACCCAATGCAATATCTGCCTAGAACCCACTAGACAAGAGACACCTCTCACTCCCCACAATCACAATAGTGATAAATAATTCAATACAAAAGGAAGACTTAAGAAGACACTCTTCAAAGTCACAGTACTTGATTTGGCTTAACAACTTTAATCAAGAATAATACACTCTTGCTTAAAAGCTTTGAGTGAACAATTAACACAGTACAAATAACAAGGTAAATATGTCTACCGCGATGCATCCAAAGATACAAAGGGTGACTTACAAAGTTACACACAAGAGACTCTCAAAATCCTAAAACACAAAACCACACGTGAAGATTAAGTTACACCAACAAAATTCTTCACCACACAATCTCTCATTCTCTGTCTAAAAGCCCCAACGAATTTGGATTTCTACTTATGTATATATAAGTAGCATACAATCCTTGGGCCTAGGTGTAGAAATTACGTTTACCCAAGATAAACCTCTCTTCATGAAGTTGCACACATCCAATTAGGTAAGGGGCATTCCATGTTATCCTCAGCAATGCCTGACATGTCGCCTGAGATAACTAGGCTTCCTAAAATGTTTCCTGAAGTATAGCCTGAGCTAATACCAGAAAAGTTAAACCCGAACTCTGATGTCATACGCTTTATGTCATAGTGTTGCACCCTAAAATTTGCTCAATCTACTTCACTTGGTTTATGTTTCAATTACATTAGCATTTGCATATAAAGTCATGTACATAGTCCAATCATTTGCATAGCATAGCATAGCAAGTCATTCAACAGGGGACCAAGTACTATTCTCATCTCTATGAGCCTATCAAGAGGTTATTGTTCAAATTCAAGCTTATCCAAGCCATCAGAAAGAAATTGAAATCTAAGAAGTCAGTGGATCAAGCAGTGAATCTATCTCCTATCTGAGGGCATTTGAAGACCATCAAAGAAGTGTGAGCTGTGAAGTGAGCATGGAGGGTATACAGACATCATAGAGGACCTATAGGGCCATTTTGAAAGAGGGACAAGTCCTTGATGTGATCACAAGAGTTGCAGTGGAAGACAGTCAACTAGGGTTTCATCTGGGTCAACCCTAGGTCAACCCTAGGTCAAAAGATTGATTGAAAGGCATCAAGGTCTATTTGAGAGATGTGGGGTTCATAATTTGACATGTAAACATGAATGTGGTGTTGTGTCAAGAAGAAATCAGGAGAAATCAAGAAGAAGAGGAGTTTCTAAATTAGGGTTTCTATGTAAAATCCCCTGATTTAGGTCAAACTTCCAAGCAAGATAAGTCAAAATTCAAGCTTCAAATGGATCATTGGCCAACAAGAAACTTGTAGAGGATCTCAAGACATTTAATTTGAGTGGTGGAAGACATCAAGGAGATTTATAGAACTCAAGTTATGGTCCTTGCAAGTTACAGGTCATCTGAGGTATCTGAAATTTTGTCTGTGAAAGTTACTTGTCTTCCAAGCAACTTTTACCCCTCAAGGAGATTTCAAATTAATTTCTGGTAAACATAAGAGTTGTTCCTCATTGTCTTATATTTCTATAAAAGTATGGTATGCCTTCATATGATTTGTGGAGCTCTACTTATGGTCTTGGCAAGCAAAGGGTATTTTGGTCATCTGAGAATTACAGGTCATTTCAAGCCTATGCCCAAAAATCATACAAGGAAGCTTCAAATGAAAAACTTCACAACATCAAACTTGCTCCAAATGACATTTTGAGTCTAGAAAAGTGATCATGAAAGTTTGGAAAGGCTCATAGCTCAAGGTTTCAAATTTGGTCATTTAAAAGGGAATTTAATGAATAAAAATGACTTAAAATTGAGATTTTTCATAACTTGGCCAAATGGGATGAAATTATAGGTCATTTTGATTGGAAAAAATGTTTTAAGAACATTGGCAAAAGTGTATTTTTTATTTTGGTTCAAAATTTGGAAGATATGCTAGTTGGCTTATAAAGGAAGTAACATATTCAAAATTCAAGGAAAGTGTGCACAAGAAGTTTCTACCAAATTCTAGAAAGGTCCATGAGTGTCTATATATTGAATTGAGAGGCTTCATTCAAGGGTTGGTGATTCATTTTGTTCATAACACATAGTTTCATCTCATTCTTCCATTTTGCAAAACCATTTCAAACTCTATCAAACCTTCATCAATTTCCAAAGTTCTTGATCCTATCATCATCTACCTTCATTCAAGATCAAGCTTCCATCAAGATTTGGCTCAATTGAGGTAGAATTCTTGCTATCCATCTTCATCATCCAAAGTGCAAGAAGAAGTGGTTACAAGAATCCAAGAGGTTTGAGCAAGAGATATTGCATACAGAACCAAGAAGCAAGCTTACTGATCAATTCCCAAGCATTGCAAGCATTGGATCCAAGGAATTCTGCACCTGTTTTCATCATTTACACCAGGTTAGTTTTCCTTTCGAATTGGCTAGATTAGTTAGCATGTTAGAGAATTATTAGGTTAGAATGGTTAGGATTAGTTAGATGATCATTTCTGTTGAGTTTGAAGACAATTCATGGAGGTTGCCATTGGTGCACCAAAGCTGTTAGGGCTTAGAACTCCTAGGTTAGGGCTTGATAATACTGGTTAGACATATGAGAGTGATCAGCAAAGTGTGTAGATCGTGTTAGGGTAAGAATTAGAAGGGATTAGCATGATGGATATCAGTGTAAAATGGTGGAACCAAGATGTTCTACCTATCGGGTTTGAATTTTGATTGAGTTTCAGAGGAATCTAATGCCATGGCTGTGTAGAGGGGAAGAAGTAGAGAAATTTTGCTCTTTACAGATTGGAGTTTCATGGAGAATCGAGGTCGTA